AATCAATTATTTAAATTTAAATTAATTTAATTCGAATATGGAGATGTACAATTTAGTTGAGATGCATTTTAATGTTCTATGATGTAAATTAAATGCATGCTATTTAAAATTTACATTTTTGCTCAAGTAAATGCAAAGGATGTGTATATGATTTGTATCATATTTATTTTGATTGTTATATGTAAACATTATTGACATTATCCTTAAATTTGAAACTTTCATTTGATTATGATATGGATTAATGCACCATTATGAGATGGGGGCATATTAGGGACGGATTAACTTAAGAGTTAAGTCCTACCTATTTTAAATAAGGGAACGGATTAACCACAGTATTAAGTCCTACTTATTCGTGTCAGGTCAATGGAATAGTTGGATGACATATTATTGAAATAATAATTTGATATGTTATTTTAATGGTTGGATAGGACGGATTTTACATATAGAATTATACGCCACGATATGAGCTTGAGTCTTAGGATCAGTGGTTAGAATGCATATATTGCTAGGGATGTGTAGCTAGATATAGTGTAGTTGTGTACCCTGGTAGGTCTAGGTACTCATACCCACTATATGTGCGTTTTGCATGTTGCCTACTATTCAGGTTGAGACAACTCTATAGTCTAGTGAGGTTCCTTTAGTGTGTATATATCTACGTATGGACTATTTAGTTATTGTTGAATTGATTAAAATGTGTACGTGTATCGGGTCTCTGTTTGTGATGTAGTAGATTAGAACTTGTTTGTGGGCCTGACCAACCATTATTTTTCAGGTGTTCGTCAGTTCTAGTCTTAGCGATTGTTCGTGCCAAGCAGAGACAGTCATTCACTCTTCCGACTCTACGTAGGACTCTTCTTCATGGTTTAATTATTAGTTTTATTTCAGTTCAGTTATTTCAGTTATGATATTATTAGGGGTCCACAATATGGATTCCCGAGTTGTGGTTTTAAGTAATTACTGGTATCAGAGGATTGGAGAACTTTAGTATGGGATTTTTAATTATTATTTAGTTTTCTTTTCAACTTATCTATTTATTTTTAATTCATCTTGTATTCCAATGCTTGTTTAAATATTAATTGTTTGATATTCCTTATATTTTGTGCTCGGACTTGATCACTCGTGGCTCTAGAATCGAGGGGTATCTCAGATTTCAATCCCTCTGTTTCATATTCAACTATTTCTCCCGAAAATGCTTCCTCTGGATATCTTCAATTCTCTGGACAAGCACACACATATATATATAGAGACACACACATAGAGGGAGGGAGAGAGTTGCTATTTATGCTGCCGTAGTTGGAGCGGCGAAATCTTGCGGATAGGATTGATGAAGAAGATAAACAGTGTAATGATAAAGCTGTGTTTGGGTAATTAGGTGTAACAGTAAACTAAGGCTGTGTTTGGGTGTGATTTGGGGGTAAACCATCAAAACTGCGTCGTTCCAGTAAAGGATAATTTTGTAATTTTCTTTTTCCGGTCACAGAAACTTGCCTACTGTCCTTAAATGCAACTTTTTAATAGTTTAGGGGGGCATTTGTTAATTCAAGGGAGTTTTGTGCAATTGGTTGATAGTCCAGGGAGGTTTTTTGCACTTTACCCCAATTTTTATTATATTATCAGTTTTATCCTCTCTCTTTCTTTACTATCTCTCCTCTTCATCTCTCTAAACCTCATACCCATTTCATTATTCACCTTCTCCTTCATCACCACATCCTTCAGCTAATGGATTTGGGGCCAAACGAATCTTTTTATTGTTGAATCCTGAGAAAACCTTGGAGTGGGCAAAGAAAGATTCACACTCACCATAAAATTTTCTCCACCAGATGCCACCACACCAACTGGGTCTAACCCAAAAAAACTTTTTTTAACAATGTTTTCGGTAATAGTAATAGATGGTACTCGAACCACTCTTTTTCTATCCATGTCGGCATTTCGTACAGAGGTTATTACGTCAGCAATAGTGTCCCTACCCATGATGAACTAAAATTATTGGTGCCCCCGAATTCTGATATAATCGACATGTTTTTCTTTTTTTTTTTTTACTTATTTATTTATAAATATGAATTATTAAAGGTATATGCGTAAGACACAATCTGCTAATTAATCTTAATCTACAACACCAAACCCACCGGTTAATTTTTTTCCACCAGAAGCCGTCGCTTCACTGTCTCAGTGGTACACAATCGGTGGGAAAGGCCTTGGCCGTTTATTTACTGGCTTGCGATGGACCAGTTGTGGTTTCCATCGCCATCGTCTTTGTTGCCATCTAGATCGTGTCGCTTTGTTGTTGCCGACGCCTTGTGTAGCCATTGCCTTGCTCCGTTGATGCTCGCCGGTATGCCACGGTTCCAAATGTTGGCTGCCTTCTGTTAGGTTTTGTTGAAGGAGGAGAAGAGGGGTGTTAGATAGACCCATTTTAGTATGAGAGAGATCATTACATGGGTTTGGATTAATTGATCAATTTGATCACTCTGTTCTTGGATTTTTGCAGAGTATAATTCTACTCCTGATCCTTTGGCAGAGGCTTTTCCGTCCACATGTTGAACACCGGAAGACCGAATAATTCATAGACAAATTGTGTTTAGGGGTGGAGAAATAAAAAAATAAATAGAGGAAAAAAAGAAGTGAAGCAGACATGGAGAGAGAGAGAGAGACAGACAAACAGACAGAGACGAGAGAGAGAATTGGGTTTAGGGGTGGGGGTCCTTATATGCACAAATGGGTGAGGGCCTTGTATACACAAATGGGTGAGGGCCTTGTATGCACAAATGGACAAATGGGTGAGGGCCTTGTATGCACAAATGGGTGAGGAGCAAAATAGGAAATAAAAGGGTAAAATGAAAATTTTAGTTTTACCTTTTGTAAAAAGGTAGTCCGAAGTTCTACACTTTTTTTAAATTTTATGAACTTGTATGTGCATTTTAAAAAAGTAGGGACTAATTTTGCATAAAAATTTATTTATGTCAATATATGTAATAATTTGACACAAGGCCCCCTTCCTCTCCCCCTCCAACACCTAAAATCATCTTTTTTCAAAATTTCTTTAATTATTTTCCTTCTTATTCAAATTTTTTTTTTTTCTCTTCAAATTAATTTGCATTCCCCTTCTTCAACTAAATCCTTTTTCTCTTTTTTTTTTCCCTTTCATAGTTATCTCATATATATGTATATATTTTTCTCCTTCCTTGTTTTTCATTTTTTCTTAAAATTTTCTTCTCTTTGCACTCATGCATCCCTTGCTCAGTATATATATATATATTATCATGTATATTATGCCCCAATCCAGTTCCTGGGTCTGCCCCAATGTTGTGAGGAGGCTTACACGCCATTCGCGTATATAACTCATTTGGCATTTTGGATGTATTATTGCTCTTTTAGCTTACAGGTACAAGAGGCACTCTAAATTTCAATGGAATTTAGCAAAAGAAGCATCTGGTGCTGATACAGCAATGCATTAAGATTCATTGACACTGACCAACTCTCACATTACATTAGTCAACTCTCACATTACATTAGTCAATATTTACAACTTTTGAAAAATTCCACCATGTCTGCATCGGAGTAGTGTAACAGTCCAAGAAGAAATATTCAAAGCTCAAGACTTGATTGAAATATTCAAAGTTCAAGACTTACTTAGTGCGTGTGTTGAAATAATAGTGCCGCTAATCACATATTTAAATCACGTTTGTTATCCTTTTAGGTCTTTTTATTTTTATTTTTTTTCATTGACAAAAAAACTCAATCATCAAATCAGGAGAACATTCACCTTTAAAAAATAAAAATAAAAATACCACTAGGCCACACAGTTTTTGATTCCTTTTGGATTCATGCACTTGATTTATCCTCTCAAGCTTGCTATATTTTCTCTTCTGTCATGTTGTAATTCAACCATGAAAATTGATATTGGAAAATGTCTAGCCCTTTTCAGTATCTGTTTTTTTTTTCCTTTAAAATTACTAATTAAGTTTATTATTAAAAGGTCATTTACTAATCACTTAAACTCCGTCTCATTAATTTGATTAAATGACAATGGTAAGAAAAAAAAAAAAAAAAAAACATTTTACAAATTTAGTTAGCATGAAAAGAAATTTTTTTGAGAAAATTAATTTTCTTCAACCATCTAACTTTTTCATAAAATGTTCTACAAAATACAGATGAAAATTAATTTGGATTTCTTGAGAAAGTTTTATGAATTTACAACAATGCTCTTTTTTTCTTTTTTTTTTTCTTTTAAATTTTATACATTCTAAATTTTTATGCTAATCAAATGCATGTTAAGAATTATTTTTCTTTCATTTCTTTCACTTTTATTTTCAGTTATTAGTTTCTATCTAATTAAATAGACCCTTGATTTCCGTTAAATTTAGATGAAAATAGCAAAAAGGAAATGAAATTTAAAAAAAATAAAATAAAATTTACGCTTTTAGCCTGGAAAAGGTGACGGTGTCAACACATCTCATGGCTCATGCTCTGTTTCAGTCTAGTAAAGTTTATAATGAATCATAGAATTTGAAGTAACCAAAATTATACACAATTACACACACACATATATATATAGTATGTGTATATTGAAAGAGAATTGTGTTATACTCCATAAGAGCACTATTTAGGCTGCTCACCATGATCAATTAATGTTTGAAACTTGGCCGACAATAGATAGCGAATGAAAGCAACCAACGTGGAGGAAAAAGTTGAATTTTATGTTAAGTTTCAAAATTTTAACGCTTTTAGCCTGGAAAAAATAGTTGAACAAGTCATTTTTGGCAATTTAAAATTGCCAATTTTCCAACTTGGAGACGTGACTCAATCCAACGCAATTGATTTGTTTATATTTCTTCTTGGTTTGCTTGTAATCTATTCATATTTATATTTTTGGTTATTATGGTTGACTTCATCAGCCACACTTCATATAAATGTCTCTGCTTTGCCCGAAATAGAACCACTGAAAAACAATCTGATCTCAACTGCCAAGTGGTATCAGAAATCACAAGTTCTTCACTAAAATGGGGCTTCTGAACTCGGGCTTAATCATATCAAGGTCAGGTTTCAATGTTTTCATCCATGTTATAATTGTATGTTGCATAATCTTGCTACATTCAGGCTTTCCTGTCACCATGGCAACGCCTAGACTCGGTGGGAATGAAACAGACCGACTTGCATTACTCGAATTCAAGGCGAAAATAACCAATGATCCCCTCCAGGCATTGGGCTCATGGAACGAAACAGTTCACTTCTGCCAGTGGCATGGCGTTACATGCAGTCGCCGACATCAGAGAGTAACCATGTTGGAATTGCAGTCTCGTAAGCTAGCGGGATCTATTTCTCCACACGTAGGAAATTTGAGCTTTCTCAGGATACTGCACCTCCAGAACAATAGCTTCAACCATGTCATCCCTCCAGAACTTGGCCGTTTGAAAAGACTGCAGTACTTGCGCCTGCACAATAATTCAATTGAAGGTGAAATTCCAGCCAACATATCTGGTTGTTCTGCCCTCATTTTCTTTGCAGTTGTTAACAACAATTTGGTAGGTAAACTACCTGTGGAACTTGGCTCGTTGTCAAAGCTTAAAGCAGTTTATATTGCCGGTAACAATCTAATGGGAAGTATCCCTCCTTCTTTGGGGAATTTATCGTCCCTTCAAGGATTTTACGCAACCCTAAATGATTTTGTAGGGAGCATCCCAGATGTTCTATGCAGATTGCCAAACCTTGCATACATGGGAATGGCTGGAAATAGGTTATCTGGTAAGATCCCTCCTCCTTCACTTTTTAATCACTCTTCTCGCACCACTATTGATGTCTCAACTAACCAAATTCAATGGAGTCTTCCCTCGAGCTTTGGCATCACAATTCCAAACCTTCAATTCCTTGGCATTTCCCAAAATCAATTCATTGGTTCCATTCCCGTTTCAATATCAAATGCAACAAATCTAGCGTTCTTTGTAGCAGGTTCAAACAACCTCACTGGAAAAGTTCCTACCCTGCAAAAGCTGCAAAAACTCGAGCGATTTTTAATTTCCTTCAATAATCTCGGAAGTGGAGAAGTCGGTGACTTGAACTTTCTATCCTCTTTGACCAATGCCACCAGCTTAGAGATATTGCAATTTAATCAAAACAATTTTGGCGGAAAGTTGCCTGAATCCATTGGCAATCTCTCTACTAAGCTTCTTGTTTTGTCTTCATCATACAATCCTACATTTGGGGAAATTCCAACACAAATATTCAATCTCGTTAACCTGGAGGGCTTATACATGGAAGCCAATCAATTGACGGGCAACATTCCCAATGACATAGGTAGGATTCAAAGGCTACAGCAACTAGGTTTTGGGAAAAACAAGTTATCGGGAAATATCCCGTTTTCTTTCGGAAATTTGACTATTTTAACCAAAGTTACGTTAAATGAAAACAATCTCAATGGAAGCATCCCTTCTAGTCTTGGAAATTGCCAACAATTGGTGCAATTGGATCTTAGTCAGAACAATCTTAGTGGTACAATTCCACAACAGGTTTTTCGTCTCTCATCATTATCGATTGGTCTAAGCTTTTCTAGAAACCATTTGACTGGCTCTCTTCCCATGGAAGTTGGAAATTTGAAAAATATTGGTTACTTGGATGTTTCTGACAATGAGTTATCTGGCAAGGTTCCTGACTCACTTGCTAGCTGTGTAAGATTGGAAACCCTACTTTTGGGCGGAAACTTTTTTCACGGTACCATTCCTTCATCTTTGAGATTTTTGCGAGGTATTTACAGTTTAGATTTATCTCGCAACAACTTCTCAGGTGAAATTCCAGAATATTTGGAAGGGTTCGAGGTTTTACAGTATTTGAATCTATCTTTCAATGATTTGGAAGGCACGGTACCAAGAGAAGGAATTTTTAAGAATGCAAGTGCAATTTCAGTCACGGGAAATAGTAAGCTCTGTGGTGGTATACCTGAACTAAAGCTACCTCTATGCAGCTCCAAAGGGTCTAGAAAAAAGAGATCAACTATTCCCTTAAAATTGGTGATCACTGTATCTTGCGGGCTTGTGGGACTAATTTTGTTGTTGTTTGTTCTATATTTTTTCTGGTTCAGAAAGACAAAGAAGGTGCCTTCTTCAAGTTCACCGGCAAATTCACTCTTAAAAATGTCTTACCAAAGTCTCCTCAAATTTACTGATGGCTTCTCTGCTGCCAATTTGATTGGTACGGGTGGTTTTGGGTCTGTTTATAAAGGAATCCTTGATCATGATGGATCCATCATCGCCGTGAAGGTACTTAACCTTGCGTACCATGGGGCTTCCAAGAGTTTCTTAGTTGAGTGTGAAGCATTGAGAAATATTCGACATCGGAATATTCTAAAGGTGATAACCGCGTGTTCAAGTGTTGATCACCAAGGTAATGATTTCAAGGCCCTAGTTTATGAGTTCATGGAAAATGGAAGTCTAGAGGAGTGGTTGCACCCAAATCCAAGTGAAGATTTCACACACGGAGATCCCAAGAACTTAAACTTTCTTCAGAGATTGAATATTGCTATCGATATGGCTTGTGCTATAGATTATCTTCACCATCAATGTCAAACGCCAATAGTACATTGTGATCTCAAGCCAAGCAATGTTCTTTTAGACAATGAAATGACTGCACATGTTGGTGACTTTGGGTTAGCAAGATTCCTCCGTGCAGCCAACTATGAAAGCTCTATTGGAATAAGGGGTTCGGTCGGTTATGCTGCTCCAGGTAGAAATGTTTTTCAACAATTCTTAACTGTTTTACTTATTTATTCTATTTCTATTTCATTTATTGAGTATTTTCAATTTTTCATATGAAACGGGATTTCATCAAGCATGGATTTGCTTTCAGCGTGCATTAAGCATCCTTTATGTGGAAGTTAAAATCAATATGTCCTTGACCGATTAATTTGCCCTATTTTTCAATACCAAGAGAATGTATAAAGAATTCTCTCTTTCATATACTTTTTTGTAGCGAAATCCTTTACAATTATAATCACGTGCATTGCAGAGTATGGTATGGGAAGCAAAATGTCAACAAGTGGCGATGTATACAGCTTTGGCATTCTCCTCCTTGAAATGTTCACTGGAAAGAGACCCACCGATAACATGTTTAGAGACAGTTTAAACCTTCATAACTTTGTGAAGGCCACTTTGCCTGATAAAGTAGAAGATATTGTAGATCCCATACTTCTCCAGGAATATAGAGACGAGCTCACAAGCACAAATAATATCAAGAATAGCCCCAAATTTGAAGCTTGTTTGGTTTCAATATTTGAAATTGGAGTAACTTGTTCTGCAGAACCGGCGAAAGAAAGAATGAACATTACAGACGCAGCTGTTGAGTTACGTTCAGTCAAGAATATTTTTCATGGGACAGGAATACATGGAGCACGACAAATTATGACACCCCAATCAACATGTAATGTCATTGTCTTATAGTTGATTTAAGCTAGAAGAAATTGATTGAGTTCTCTATCTGCAACTTCATACCAGGTAAGCCTATTCTATATAGAAGATCAAAGAGTCATGAGGTTTAGAGCAACCCCAGCGCACCATCAATTTGTGTAATATGTATGACTGTGTCGAAGCAAAGCGCTTCTTGTGCAGCTTACACACTTGCGGGGGCCATCCAATATTACACACTCAACACGCCGCAGGTGAAGAATGGAGTAGCGCTTGTCAAATGGCAATCGTAGCTGGGGAGTGGGCCATTTTGTGGGCTTTGTGTGTGAGAATAATACAAAATGAAAATGTGATATTGTGCAGTGATATGTAAAATAAATATTGTATGTATATTATATTAATTAATTAATATAAAGATAGTCAAATTTTTATTAATTAAAAAAAAAAGTCATTTTTTTCTAAATAAATAAGAAGAGTCATTTAATTTGCACTTTATATATATATATATTTAAAATCTTGTATAGTTGTTAGTATTATAGTTATTGAGAATAAAACTGTTAAGAAAAAAATAATAATAATAAAAGATTTTATTTTATTATTTAAAAAATAATAATATAATAAAGTGTACAATGAAAAAATAAATGCACAACAAGAACTTAGAGCGTTCAAAATAAGTGTACAATCAAATGCTGATGTGACTTTACACTTTACATAAAATTGATGATGTGACTACACACTTCATATAAAGTGTGGAATGGAAACAATATGTGCACTGAGTTGCTCTTACCTTGTGTTCTGTTTACATGAAACACAGTAGGCTTGTAGCTGTCGGCCATGTATAGAAGGCAAACAGAGGAATGTAATTCAAGAAAGCTATTATCAGTGTTATATATATATTCGGTGTTTGGTTGCCCAAAAAAGGAAAAAAAAATATCTATCTTGGTAAAATCCTCTGCAGGCTTCTTTAAAAAAATAAATTACCCATAAAATGTTGAAATAAAATAGACTAATGGATAAGCAAAAGAGAGATTTAATACTAAACGAGTCAAATAAGAGCTTCGATTTTCATTTAAAAGCTAAACACCAAGATCTTTGTCAAATGCAGAATAATAAAAAATAAAAAGATATTTTATATGAAAAAATATTATTTAAAAATTTACGTCCAAATAAACGGTGACTTACGTCACATAACAATTTCAACATAAATATAATTTGTGATCTAATGTATAAATTTGAATAGAAGGCATTCGTAGTTATTTTTCAATAGTTGAATAGAAGATATCTGTAGTTATCGTGCCCCTAAATTTTCAAATTCACCTTATGGATAATTCAACGGCTAAAAGATTCCGATATGGTGACAAAACTTACTTGATAAATGATCCAATGACCAAAAAACTAAAAAATAAGTTACCCCAAAATATTATAAACCTTTTAATTCATAAACATAAACTCTATTTAAAATTAACCTCTGCTAAAACGTTTTTTATACCTTCCGATGAGGGACATCCTTCAACCCTCCAATCTTCTATATGCAAATAGGATGATGGGACTCATACTTCAAAACCTATAAAATGGTCACATACTATAAAGTATAAACTTAATTAAATTATAGTTCAATGTTTCCATTGAAATTCAAGTGCATAGATCAATATACTTTAAAATCATATAAAATTGGTGGAATTAGAGTAAAAAATAATAATAAAATTAATTAATTATAAAAATATGATGTGAAAAATTACCAAAGAAACGGATTTCAATTTCAAAGTTGGAATACGGCACCCAAACAGGGGACTACAAAAAGTTGCTGCTGCCTCCATCCAGCTTTAGCTTAGGGCTTAGCTTATGGATTAAGCTGACAATCTGTATAATCAGTCTACAGATTTGCAATTCCCAATCAAAACCAAAACCATCAACAACAACAACAACAACCGCATTTGGGACACACAACCAAGAAAATGGCGGAGAAACTGGCTCCCGAGAAACGTCACAGCTTCCTTCATGCCGGTACCTTCAACTTTCTCTCTCATCAAACGCTATCTATACCACTTTATCTTTTTCTTTTCACTTTTCTAGTACTATGATTTTTCGCCTCATTTCTAGGGTTCTTTGTCTATTATTAATCACAAATAGTTAAAATTCTAGGGTTCCAATGATCAATTATCTGTTGAGACTTGAGTTTTCAAAAGTAATTTTGTTGATTCGTTCAGGCCAGAAGGTTTTCGAGTGGGATCAAACCCTCGATGAGATCAACATCTACATCACTCTCCCTCCCGGCGTTCCCACGAAGCTCTTCTCCTGCAAAATCCAGTCCAAACACATCGAAGTTGGCATTAAAGGCAACCCTCCTTATCTGAACGTCTGTATCTATCTATCTACACACCATTCTTACTTACATGCGTGTTTGTTTGATTAAAAGGATTATATTTTTACTTAGTCTGTCGATTTTTGTTGATTGCAGCATGATTTCACATACCCTGTAAAGACTGATTCTTCATTTTGGACTATAGGTAGACAGTTATATTTTGTTAATGTTAGAAAATTGGCAGTTGTAATTTATGGGGTGTTAAAATTAGGGTTTTTTATTTGGCAGAGGATGACACTATGCATATAACTCTGCAGAAGAGGGACAAAGGCCTGACGTGGTCTTCTCCCATACAGGGTGAGGGTCAGCTTGATCCTTACGCCGCGGATCTTGAACAGAAGCGTCTTATGCTTCAGAGATTTCAAGAAGAGGTGAGTCTATTCTTCTTTTTTGTTGTTAATGTTATTTTGAACCTTCAATTTGCTGCATTTTTCATTTCTGCTTTTTAATACCACATAAAGCTGTCCAAAGCTCGGGACTGGTTAGTGATCTTTTATAGAAGATGTAGAAGAAAGGAGGTTTTAGACTTATGTGGTGTGTGCTTTGAAAACATTTTTTGCGAAATGTTTGACTTCACCCAGTTCCAAACCTCCAATGACTAATTTCATTAAGGCTGTGCTTTGATGCCCCTTGGATTTGAGTTATTCCATCAACTTTCTATGACCTTTTAATTTTGGAATAAGTTCCTTTTTCTTTTCAGTTAGGTAAATACTCACGCGCGCAAGCACAAATGCCCACTATGTGGGCTTGAATGGTTGAACCCCTCACCTCCCCTTTTAGGGACGAGAGGTTATATCCAAGGGCGAATCCAGGAATTGTCAATGGGGGGCTAATATTGAACATAAATTTAATTACACAATTTCATAAGCAAATTTTTTTTGAATGGGTTAAAAAGGGTGGCTAATACTACTATTAAAAAAAAAATTTTAAAAAAATTAGGCTGAAAATACAATACTAAAAAAAAATTTTTTTTTTTGGGGGGGCTCAAGCCCACCCAAGCCCCCCTCTGTGTCCGCCTGTGGTTATATCAGTTGGCTAATGGCCCAGTGGTAAATGGAGCCATTTGAGAAAGTGGGTGCCATTTTGTGGGCATGGCTAAGATATTAATCTTATCATTCAAAGAAACTTAATAACAATTACATTGTCTTGAATAACCAGATTTGGGTGATGAATTTTGAATTTTCACTTCAAATGCCATAAAATTTTCAATTGGATTAGTCAAATTTAAGGGGTGTCCAAATACATTCTAAATCCTAATATCCCTGTTTAAAAAATTAGTGAAGGCATTCTCCAACAAATTGGTCACCTACAAACACAATATTTCTGGTTCCAGACTTCCAGTTAGAGAGTTATTAAAATATGATGTTTTAGCCATTATATTTCCTAAGAATTCGATGTCTTAAACATCTTCTGCTGAGATGGGCAAGAGTGATTTAGTAAAACACTTGCTTTTCAATTGGCCACAAAGGAGATAGATTTTGTTGTTCTACCATGTTATTATTTGTTAATTGGAAGCCAAAAGGAATTACCAAGAAGTTTAAAATTTGAAATTAAATAGAATGGTATGGTACCACTTACGATGAGGTTGATGCTCATATTAATAGCTGATACATATATGGCTTATGGGTCAATTGGTAAAACATATGTGGCAGTTATGTTGAGTCTTTAAAGGTCATGAGTTTGGTTTGCCTGAAATTTCTCTGATGTGATCTGCTTGGTTTAATAGGGAAATATTAAAATGCTAGGTGGAACAAAGTATTTTGGCAGGCTTCTTACAAGTTTTTATTAGTAGATCAAGTGAAAGGAAAGAGAATTTTGATGGGAAATGTATCTATATATATTATTCGGCACTTCTCTTGGAATTTTTTCGCCTCATATTGAATATCTGGAATATAACCGTGATTGTTAACAAGGGAGTCATACTATAATTCATCATTTGATGCAAACATTTTGATGCTCAAATAAATTGAACCATACTTGAGAATTACTGATTGTAAATTTGGAAAACTGAATGAAATCCATGGTGGTGCTGATTATTCCGATGAAATTCTTACTTCATTCTGAGCCTAACTCTAAGCCCGTGACACTATGGTAACTAGTACATGTTTTTATCAATTAGGAAAAAACTTGTTCTGCTCATCTTTCTTGAATAAATCTAAAATCCTTGACCAATATAATGGCACATTGGTTTGTTGGACTGTAGTGACCTATATAAGTTTTGTATAGGGCACATGCAGCTGATGTGGTGTCATCCGATGCCCATCCATATGTGAATTTTAGGATAACATAAAATTATGCATTGTTCTAGACTCTGTATGTTAACATGGTGACAATTTATTTAAAGCAAACAAGTCTTATGCGTAATGTGAAGTTGCGGCAATCACATAAGCCTGTGAGCCTATTGGTCCCAAAACCAGATCAGGGTATGTGTAGGTCTTTTTTATTCTTTTTTCTTTTTTGCTTCCCCCATATATATTTGTAAAGTATCATAGAAGGATGACCTTGTTCGTTGGATACAAAGGATTTCTGCTGTGTTCCTTCTGAGTCTCCACGATTTCATACTGCCTGCCCTAGCTGGAGTATGCAGTACTTGTTCCACATGTATGCATATTCATCATAGTGTTGTGGAAATGCATATTGTTGATATTGTGTAGTTTATTCCTATTCGCAAACGAGAGAGACTGTGCATGGAACTAGAAAACAAAAGCAGGCTAAGGAGTCTGCCACAAGTTGATGTTTTGTGTTCTCCAAATAACTATTTGCATTTTATGATCCAGCACATATCCACTTCTATTTTCAGAATGCTACTTTTTCACTTCGATGTACTTTCCTTTTTATTTCTTAAAACATAGTTTGTGCTTTCAAACTTCGACACCAAAAGCCAAGTCAGTTTTAGTGGGAATAGCTCCTAATGGTGGCTGTCTGGTTGGTTTCCATTATATAATTGCTTTCACAGTCAGTGATCTGTACTATTTAGACCATTCCACTTGATCGATGTCTTTAAATTCCCATGGTACACATTTGTCTAGCTGACTTGTCTCTCCTGTTGAATCTTGCTGTATGCAGAACCCAGGATTCGACTTCTCACAGGCTCAGTTTTCTGGAAACTGCCCTGATCCAAGGACATTCATGGGCGGGATCAGATCTGATTGACAAACTATGTAATTCTGTAATGAACTTACATTAACTCTTTCTCATCTTAGTCCCTTCAAAATAAAATGGTGGTATTTGCCTTCTTTAAGATGCTTCTTCATTCTCACTTTAGCTTATCGGCCTGTTCATGAATGCAAGCCTTGTAATATATTTGTATTGTGCAATGAATGTAATCCTGTGCCTCTTGTAATAAATGTCTCACTTTGGCTTCATTTTTATTTATTTTTTAAATCATTTTAGAGAAGTATGGTTGATGCCTTCTCTCTTGATCTTTGTTGTCACATTTTGTATTAGAAATATATTCAGAAAGGGAAGAAATATATATGTTTGAATTTACTAGTTGTGGGATAGAAGTCTCTGCAGATGCATTAGAAATTTTTTTTCCTGAAATAATGCATTAGAAATTTACTCTGTTGAGGGATATTCTTATTAGGAAAACAGACTAGGTAAAAGAAATATTTAATTCTTGAGATATACATTTTTAATTTATGTAAAAGGAGAATGGAAGAAATGCTAGAAAGAAAGTTGTGCCTACCTTTATTTGAATTCCTACAATTGGCAGTTTATGATAAACAGGTCATACACAAATCCCATCAAATGAATTTTTGTGCTAGAAAGGTTGGCTATTGTTCAATACATACCTACCTACCTAATGAACGTTTGAAGCCACTAACCAGCTCATCAATGACACACTGGTTTGGGCCTGAGGGAACAAAATTTCATAGCCAAAAGAGAAGTGGTTTTAGATCACATTTATGTTAGATGAGGTTGCCCCATTTGGGTTCAATGCTTATCGAGTTAGTAATGTCTATAATTATTCCTATCAACATTTTTTTTGTGGAGTCTGACCGTACCATCCTTTTAAAATTATGGCATCCCTCGAGTTCTTTGGATATGATCTTTTTAAATTCTGGTTGCTTTTTGCTTTTGATTCTTTTGTGGTAGTTGTTGTTTCCCACTTGCCACAGAATATTAAGGGTGAGTCGATTTCTCCTCTTTGGTTTATGACAATGTGATCTTGGCATTGCATCATAACAATTATTTCTTAACATAGGTTTGAAGAAATTCATAATGAACAAAAAAGTTGCCATTGCAAATGGGCAGTCTACCAACTAGGCCACTGGATAATAACAGCCAATCCTTTTTTCCCAATTACATGGGATCGGCTATATGAATTCTATATTTCCATTCAGCACTAAGGCCATAGCCACGATCATTCCATCTACTTGGGATCGGATATATGAATTCTATGTTTTCATTCGGCTCTATTTAAAGCCATAGCCTCAATTAGACCCATGCTATCATATCATTATTAATAACTCTATTACCATCGACTTTGGTTGTCTTCTTCCACTATTACTCTCAACTTTGATTCTTCTTCCTTTATTAACCTTGATGTGACACTCTTCCTAATTGGCGGATTCAAAAGTATTCTTTGCGCTCTCTAGTATTACCTCAATCTTGGCTTTTATGGCTCTTTTCTGGTATATACCATAAGAATGTCCTTCACTAGCTGCCTAGAGACAACTTCCAGCTTGTATAAATTAAAAGAAAATTCTGTACAATGTTGGTGGAGATAAGAGTTGTCAAATCTCCAGCCCTCTATACTGGTACAAGAATACATCTGTATATGTATATATATACATACACACACAAACACTATCTATCATATGGTATATCGAAGTGGTTGTTTCCTCCTAGTTTTGTCCACCAGATAACAAATCTCCTCCGAATAAAACCTGAAAAAGTTAAGAGCCATTATAAAAGCTGGAGTTAGTTGTGAATAAAACACAGAAATGAATCATATTGGTTATGTTGTTACTTATGAATCATAATTCATAATTTCTTGTAGGCCATGCATGCACATGGGTGACGATGAAAATTGGTTCTTCCATATATAGAGACAAACACCATTTTTGTAGAGAATCAAACTTAAAAAGAAACATTACCTGAAAGATTTGTCTGGACAAATGTAATTAGCAGAAACAACCTTGTGGGGATGTGTTTCTTTTTTCCTTTTTCACTTCACTCTTTCTTCTTGGAGGAATTTTTTATACCTTGGAAACCCATTCTTGCCTGCTGAAACCTGTACACATAGCACACACAATGTCAAAACATTGCGAAAAGATTTACATATTTATTATTTGGATAAATTACTCTCTGGTTTTCACTTTTCACCGTCAGATTAAAGCTAAACCGTGTCGAAATTAAAAATCTTTCACTTTTCACAATTGGAGGCATCAGAATTAAAAATCCTAAAGGTAGAGGAATATCTCCTTGGTTGCTTAAGTTCTGATTTTGTTGTTGGTCGCAAAATGCTAAGGTCTGGAAGCCACTTTCAAATTGGAATAAATTCGTTTCACTTTCATTTCCTCTTCTCTTCTTTTCTTTTGTTTTTTGTTTTTGTTTTTGAAAATCAAAACAACAAAAAGCAACTTTTTCCTAAAGAATCATTACTGCATTCATTTCCAAAGATTCTGGGAATGTGCAAGTTTTGTCAACAGTCAAAATTCAGGTGGTTCATGGTAAAGCTGGTGGATGCAACTCTGTTATAACTTTTTATGCATATTCTACTAAAAAAACAAAAAAGAGGTCTCATATTAAATGAAATATTACTTTTAAAAAATCGAGTTTATGGATCTCACAAATCACTTCATTCAATAGAGTACAACCTACATAAATTCAACTTTATTGAATCAAGTGATTGTAAAATGCGTGAATTCCATGAAACAACCATAGTCACAAATATATATATATATATATATATAATATGTAAATTATGCAATACTAATAATGTGATATTAATAGATTCATTCACAATTTTATTTCAATCCCACATAAATGAAGAATTGACTTCAATTATTTTCCCCACTTGAGCATAAACCAATGAAGGTGGGACCCAGGCAACTTGTAAAGTCCATCATACTTTCCCCATATGAATTTATGTGTGACACTATATATATAATATCTCCGATATTTACACATTATAAGTGAAATTACTATATTGTCCCTACTCATTCGTATTTCCAAGATCATCTGATAACGTATAGACGAAGATTAATTGGGATTTGACTTACAGCTTCAATATCAATTTTGTAAACAAGAAGCTTCCTTCTCTCTCTGCAACTGGTTCTATACGCCACAACGATGTGACCCATCGCCAAAACCATCGAACACAAGAACAACAAAACTTCCATGGCACGAACACACCCTCCTTCCCGCGTAATCGAATCGCCAAACACATACGAAGCCTTCACTGACACAAACATTATCGACGATACAGAGCATATCGTCGCTGTTCCCAAGTACGGCCCTCGTGAAAGCCTAGGCCCGTCGCAAAAACTATAAACACCTAAACATTCAAAGTAATAAATAAATAAATAAATCTTTAATTTCATCAACCACACCGAACATGATATATATATATATATATATATATGAGATGGAGTTGCTTACATAGAATGACAGCTGATCTGATGATGGAGATGAGGGGTATGTCGATGAGGGAATAGCAGAAATCGTAGTTAGCCAAATGGGAGGAGAGGGTTTCTAGAGAGAGAAAGGAGGGGGAGAGAGAGGCGGATAAGAGAGCTGCAGGGAGGAGAGTGTCGGCGATGACGAGAAGAATAGGTGCAGAGAACCAGAGAAGTGAAATTAACATGGTGATGAGGAAGAACAGAGTCTTCACTCCTCTGAGAACTCGTCTTGATTTCTCTTCTTTGGACAAACCCATCTCTATAATTTCTCTATACTTCGATCTTTTGATGTAAATATGAATGGACTGTGTGTATGTATGTGCAGAGAAAATGGAGGTTGAGGGAGGCTTAAAAGGGAGGAGAGAGATGAATAGAGGCAAAAGAGGTTCGATGTTTTGAATGGACTTGTCTCCAATTGTGTTAGAAAATAAAAATGTAAAAATTGGAATTGTCTTTCGCAATGACTTCGAATTTTACACACGGAAGGTACTCGTCAAACAGGAGTAGTTCTCTTCCTTTTTAACTTTGTCTCACTACACGTAATAATGTTTTCCTCTCTCTAACTTTCTCTCTCTACACGTAATAATGGATTAACCGTTGATCTAACGTGTCTGGTATTTTAGTTATTTAGAATAATGTTGATACTAATCAAGCGGTTATGGTGGAACCGACAAGTTTGGATCATGTGATCACATGCAAACTTTTGTTTTAAGGAACATATGGAATTTTTTTAATTTCTGCATTTTCACAATAATATTTCGGATTTGTACTTTATATTGTTTGATATTGTGGGCAATTTTTTTTTAATTAGCCTCATTTGTTGGTGATTGACTGATTGCTTTTATGGACATTGAAAGGAATTTGTTTCTAGTTATGGGTTGACTTATTTTCATTTATTTATCTTTTATTAAAAATAATTCTTATTATTATTATTATATCATTATAACTTTAGAGAGCATACAAAAAATTTTAACTAAATCAAACGTTGGAAAAGTAAAATAATATTATTTGATCTTTTCGTGAAGAAGTGGAAGCGTTCAAAATAGAAAGACGTGTAAAATATATATATATATTTGCTTAAGTTTGAGAGAAGAGAATTCGAATTATATTAATGATAATAATTATTGTTGAAAATTATCAACAATATAAACTATTTATGGCGAAATCATCAAAATTGACTTATTAGGCAGGATATAATGTCTAAAAATTATGAAAATTTACGACAAAGCCCCAAATTATGTAATTAAATTATTAAGGAAAATTCTATGATTCACCAATTTTGATTTGTAATTTTATCTTGAATTAGATGGCTACTTATTTGGTTGATTTGTTTATTTTAAAAGTAATTTTTTGAATATAAGAAAAGATCTTAATATAAGAAAGAGAGAAAAATAGCAAAACTTATGATTATGAAATTCAAGCCCTTGTATAACTTAATAACTTCAATTCGTTTAAGGAGGATCTTTCATTAAATCTTCAAATAATTAAAACTAGAAGTTACAATTTTTTATCATGAATGAGTAACTCTTTCTCATAAATAAGAATTCCCTTCTATTGAATAGTCAAATAATTAAAATTAGAAGTTTATGTAATTAAATTATTAAGGAAAATTCTATGATTCACCAATTTTGATTTGTAATTTTATCTTGAATTAGATGGCTACTTATTTGGTTGATTTGTTTATTTTAAAAGTAATTTTTTTAATATAAGAAAAGATCTTAATATAAGAAAGAGAGAAAAATAGCAAAACTTATGATTATGAAATCCAAGCCCTCGTATAACTTAATAACTTCAATTCGTTTAAGGAGGATCTTTCATTAAATCTTCAAATAATTAAAACTAAAAGTTACAATTTTTTATCATGAATGAGTGACTCTTTCTCATAAATAAGAATTCCATTCTATTGAATAGTCAAATAATTAAAATTAGAAGTTATAATTTTTTACATTTCTTTATAGTGAATAAAATCATCATTTACTTAATTAACTTAAAACTTTTTATAATTATATTTTGATTTTCTATTTTTTTATTAAGGTTAAATTTGAAAGAGATGCTCTACATTAATTGAAATATATAAAGAGTGCATAAAAAAGATGTGTGTGTGTGTAGAGAAATTTAATATATTATTCTTCTTTCCTTTTTCTTAAATTGACAATTTGTTTAGTTTGTTAAAATAAGAAACACAAAAATATTAGTCCATCCAAAGAAATATTAGCCTAACTAATAATTTCTAGGGTAAAGTACAAAGAGACCCCCTGAGGTTTGAGGAAAGGACAGACAAATGAAAGTTGGCTTGTTTTTGGACAAACACACCCCCTTGTGAAATTTGCCCTCCAAACAGAGCCTTAAATCAAGTGAAAAGTCCATTTTACCCTTCACTATTTTATTAATTTTAATTATAAAATATTTAAAACTTAAATGGCCAAAATACCATTTTCATATATACTTATACACACACACACACACCAACAACCAGTCACCACCGCCCCCAATCTCCACCAACCCCCAACCTTCATAATCACCACCCACTAAAGAAGACGCCAAAAAGGAGCTCTGCCACTGCCACCTCCTCGACCTCGCCGGAGCTCAGCCTCAGTTCGGGCGGCGAACTCGGCCTTGGACAAGCCGGGTTTGACCGGGATTGACAAAGACGTTCCCCACGCCGGCGTCTTTCATTCTTGACAGCGGTAGAGAGTTGATGTTTGAGCCTGCAGGGAAGATTTGAGGATGAGATCGGTACCGCCGCCACTACCACGCTCTTCCCCTCTCTAATACACACGCACACACACACACACACACATATATATCACCCCCTCATCTGTGCACATCACCATCCCCAATTCTCACCTTCACACGGAAAAGGGCTCTAATTGGACTCAAAACGGACGGCAGAAGCGATAGCCACTTCAGCCTCCTCGGCCTTGCAGGTGATGGTCGCCGGACTGTGCTTATCTGAACCTTGTCGTCATCGGAGCTTGGTCCTCGCCGGATTGTTTTTGCTCGTGGATCTCTTGTTGCTCGGTTTCTAAACTTCGCCACACTATTCAGTCCGTGGCCGCATCGTCATCGGAGCTTGGTCCTCGCCGGCAATTTCAGGTTTCGCCGATGCTTCTGGGTTTCGCCGCCACTGTCACAGTCATCGCCGCCACCCCCACTGTCGCAGTCATTGCCGATGCTTCTTCCTCTCTCTCCTCTTCACCTCATCTCTTCAACTATGGCCGCCCCTCTCTCTATACCCACCACCGCGGCCACAACCACCATCCATCTGATCTCCCTTCCCTCTCCTCTGGTGAACTATATAATATACGCAGGTGGGTTCGGGTTCGGGTTTGGTTTCGGGTTTGGGTTTAATCAAAGGGTATTTAAGTCAATTAAAATGTTAATTTTATTTGAAAGGGTAATAACGTTAATTCACCATCTTCAGGGTCTCTTTGTCCATTTTTCAAACTTGAATGGGTGTCATTGTCCAAAAACATGCTAACTTTCCTCTACTTATCCTTTCCCCAAATCTCGGGGGGTGTCAATGTACTTTACCCTAATTTCTAAATTTGTTCTCACCCACCAGTGCACCACCACATCCAATAGCTAAAAGAGATTCGATATCTCGGAGTATTATAAACTCTCACAGATAGGGCATTAGTCTGCATTTTATGTTCAATCCTTACTCTAACTAACATTACTTTCATCTTGAAACTCAATCAACGGCACTACCCCGAATTAGAGCGTTATGAAACAATATGCACATTTAGATACTTTTAATTAAAAAATTCTCTAATTATTCACAGGTGACATACGCCCCCGTGTTGATGTTACTTTTTTTATTTTATTTTTTTCTAGGATAAACGACTAATAATATATATAAGTAATCAAATTATGTCATTGCTTTTGTCAATAATTAAAATAATAGAAGCTGACACCTAACGAAATTTGAGTGTGAAAGAGATGACACCTATTTTCCTTCTAAAACAAGAATCTTTTGATTTTTTTTTTCCCTTGCAGGAGTTGCATGCTTAGCAGCCTTTTTATTTCTTTTTTTTTAATATTTTTTTTAATCTTAGTCAATAGGTGGGTATGATCCATACTAGTCCATCTCATTCATTGTTCAAATTAAAAAGTCTATAATTGGATGTTGTGATACAAAGAATTTGAAATAATGATCTTAACACACTCGTTCTTTTTTTTTTCCTCGATGGTTATGACAATGTCAGTAATTAACATATACATATCATCCGTGAAAAGTTATATGCACTTATGTTTTCTAGGTAAATGATTGATACTACGTAATATTTAATTCTTATCCCATCTTTTCCATGAATCATGATTGTTTTAATATTTATTTATGATCAATGTATGTGATTATAAATTGGACAATATTTATTTACTTATTAGGAAGTTGGTGTTCTTTTGTGACCGCACGCGCTGATATAGTCCAACTATAAATGAATGAGCCTTTAATTACAAAATTAAAAAACTAATAAACAAGGAAAAAAAAAAAAAAAAGGAGAGGATGGGTGAATACAAAATGTAATTTATTGGAAAGAAGTTGTTTTCCTTCCAATTTAGCAGGCCAACAACTATTCACCGACGAAGTTGCGGAATTCAAAATTTTGCTATTTATATGTATAGGAGCAAAACTCCATGTGCCACTTTATATACATAATGTACATAGAAACATATCTAGCTCAATCTTTAAAATTTTTTACCTCAAATCACATCAAGATGAATTTAAGGGATACCCTAATGGCAAAATCTTTCAACTCACATTTTGAAAGTTCGGTATTAGAATATTTTTTAAGCCACTCACAAAACCTCTCACCTCAGATCCCGTAAGTTAGGTAAATTATGAAATGTTCAATAGTACGTATACCACCATTGAAGAAAAAGAAAAAAAACAACAAATCAATCAATTAAAATGGACTTTGAAGGTGTAGGACTTGGAAGTATTTGTGTGTCTATATATATAAAATTTTTTGAGGCTTCTTCACGATTGAAGTTATACCCAGACACGTAATGATGCAAATCTTCTTGCCCAACATTAAATAAACTAATTGAAGATTCGGGGTTTCATCATCATCATCCACAAAGTGGATTATGATCCTTTTCTTTAGGGTGAAGGGAAAGCCCTAGCTTTTTTTTTTTTCAATTTTTATCCACGCACACGCATTATACACGGAAGGATTGGGATTGAGACACGAAAATAAATGGGACCACCATTTTATAATCTACCCGTGTTTCTAGAAAAGATAGAAACTTCCTAACCCTCTTTATTGTCCCGAGGAAGCTTCTAGGAACACAACTTCCATAATTCTGGACTCTCCTTGCTTCTAGAGGCTTCTACCATAATTCTGGAAAAAGTAAAATGGTATATGTAAGATTTAACACTCTATTTTAAAGTCGCTATGATAGTAAACCCGTTAAAACTCCATAATAAGGTGAGATTTTATTTTATTTTTTTTACATAGATCAGAATATAA